CAAAATTTCAGTGTCTAGTAGTTGCCTTATGTACACACATTGCTAGACCTTCTGTCCCCATGAAAGAAAGGCCAGCACAGCTCCTGCAGTTGCAAGGCATATTTCCTGTGGGCTGAACAGAGCCATTCCCCATGCACTTTCCATAACTTGGGTCAGCTTATGAGAGGTGGTTCCCAGGGAGCATCCAAAGCCTGTAGGCAGGCAACACACATCCTGTATGCAGCTTTCCTTGCTGACAGATGTTGCAAATAACACTGGGGAAATCAGCTGTGGCACAACCTGCTGCCTCCTAGGTATGCTTGCAGGTACTCATGATACCACCATCTGAATTGAGTTGAGTTAGTTGTGTGAAATGACAGGTATTTTATCTTGTCTTTTATCTAAGATATTTGTTAAGCTATGGGGTACAAGTGCCTCACAGCTCTGTTTTCCCTCCTGCTTGATAGCACTCCAGAAGTACCATTTCTCATAAATGAACTAAGCACAGATGCAGTATCCAGCACATCTTGCTGGTTGATGTTTCAGGGATTCCAAATCTGATCTCGTTCACTGTCTCAAACCTCAGCATCCATCTCCCACTCCAGTGCCTATGGGTACCAAGAGAGAGTTAATTTGCTGAATGACTTAAACAGTGATGGGAAGTAATTGAACCAGCAACTGCAAATGGGAGATTTGTGGTGTCACATTGCCACGTGACAGACACTTTTGGATAAAGTGGTGGTGCCAGCTCATGTGCAGTGATGCTCATGGTCCAGCCATGAGCCATGGGCCAAGTTGATGAAGCAGAACAAGAGTATGTGGCCAAAATGCTGCTATCCCTCTCCTGCATTCATCCCTCTGTGGCCACGCAGTAGTGGCTGCAAGGTTCCTACTATGGTGCAGGAGGTGCTCTCTATTACAGACATTATCATGGAGGATAGTGACTCTCTTCTGGGACAGACCAGATCAGACTCTTACTCAGATGGTGCTTCCTTCTCCCTTGAAGGCTGGTTTAGGAAGCAGGGCACTGTGCAAAGGGTGGCTGCCTTTCCACCCTCCTTTTATGATGAGGTGAGGTGGCTGAGTACTGAGGGATGAATGCCTGCATGCAGCACTTCTGGTTGGTTCCAGTCCCTTCTTCTGATGGTGAGGAGCTTTACAGTCATGGAACCCGGGATGTAGTTTCTCCATAATTTTGGTTCTTCACTCTGTGATAGGTGAAACCCCCTTTCTAAGCATTTCAGACCCTGGAAGAAGGGCTGTTTTTTTGGTTCAGGGGAATGTGTTTATGCTGTAATTGTGCTGGGGTAGGCCTGTAGTCATGTTCTGTCTGTCTGAGCCATTGCTGGACTCTCAATGGGGATAAAATCCAATGTGGCTTCTAAAAGTGGGAAGCTTTATGTCAATTTCCAGGTAATCTGTGGCCTAAAGAAGTGATGAGACAGACTCCTGAAAACAAAGGAAGGTGCTGAGCTAGGGTTTCCCTCCTTGGCTTCAGCCCAACCATTACCATGAGGTACAAGAAAGAGGGTGGAAACTCAGCAAAAAATGTTTGGGCTGGGTTCTCTCAGTGATGCAAGCAGTGAATGAGCATTTCGGAGCTAAATACACTGAACTGGGCCTAATTCAGAGCAAAACATCCTGAACATATTTTCAGAAGTGGTAGCTAGTTCTGCTTCCTGCTGTCCTGAAATTACCTTGATCAGTCTCACACCCACACTTACACTCACACCCACACTCCCCAATACAATGAAGTCCTTAGTCCTACTACTGATGCTCCAAATACTTCCAGATTATTAATTAAACTCAAGGAAGCAGAAAATTCTGCATAATAGAAAGAATTGCTGACTTTATTTATTCAACAAAGTGGCTGAAGAGGGAAATTGATTCCAAACTCTGCCTCATAAACCTGAATTTGCTTGTCCAATCCTTGGACATAAATAGTTTTTCTTCACAGGTGCTGCTGGTCCACAGAATCCTCCACGCTGATACAATCCCTTTTATCAAAGCCTTGACTCTCCTCTTCAATCCCACACCTCCTTTAGCTCTGCAGTGGCAACCAGGGAGGAGGTAGAGGCATGGGTTCCCTGGTGAAGAAGAACACAAGTGGCAGATGCCTGGGTGCACGCAGGGCTGCCTGCCACCGCTGTGCCATGCCAGTGGCACTGCCACCCCTGTCCTCAGACAGCCCAGTGAGGGGCAGAGCATATAGGATGTTCTATGGTTCACTTTTCTTATTGCCACAGGATGTGTCAGAACAGCTCAGTATTGAAGCCATTCAGATAGCCTTTGTGCTTAAAGGTGTCTTTTTTTTTTTATCCCTTCTCATGAGGGGTATATATGGAGGAAAAACAACTCTCTGAGTTATTAAATTAAGTGCAAGGTGTATTATCCTTCCACTCCATCCTAATAGTAATTTTTCATCTGCTTTATAGGGGTGAAAGATTTCTCTTGTGCTGTTTTCAGGAAGATTTCGAGGGGAAAAAATGTCTAGTGAATAGTATCACTTTATGCTCTTAAAACTCCAGATTTTGGCGGAACACAGACAGCTAAAGCTGTGTCTGTAAAATCAGTGTAAGATGAGGGATGTAGTGCAGTAAACTCTTGCTATTCATTATCTGAAGAACTGAAGGTTCTAGACTTTCTCCCTTGAGCAGAGGTTAGTGGTGAGAACATGTGCTGCTCTAAGAGGGAAGTTAGAGGTTGACTTGAGATAATAACATAGTTTTTCTAAGTGCGAGGAATAGATATAGATATAGGATTAAATAGATGAGACATGACCATGTGAAAACCAGCTAGAAATGCTACATTGTCAGACAGAATACTCATTGAATTTGAGGTAATATTTCCACATTCTTTGAAAAATGATCTTTTATACAGACATTGCAGCAGAGATGAAGATATGTTCATCTCTTTTTGTTTGTTTTTTTTCCCTGGATAAATATTTCTTGTAAAAGTAATGAAACTGAGGCCATGAATATGTACGTGGACATTTCCAGAGTCTGGGGGTAACAAAATGGCACCTACACACTGACCTCTTTGTGCTGCTCCCAGTTTCATTCCAGAGTTAGTGCTTTGGTCTTTAGGGAATACTGCACCAGAATTTGAGACCAGAGACTCAGATTGTTTTGAGGATACCCTGTAGACAAAACCTTTAAGAAACAGCTGTAATATGGAGTCCAGTCCTTCAGTGACAGGCAGTGAGCCAGCACATTTGTGAAAAAGTCCTTTCTTTAGTCACCTTGGTGACAAAATGAGTGCCTACTGTGTTGTTCTTGTTCAGAGCCTTCATTCATCTCATCACCTTGCCACGCTTGCTGATGAGCTGACAGACTCCTGGGGCACACCAGCAGCTGTATGCAGCTTTGCCAAAAAGTGAGTTAGCCTAGGCAGCACTCTTTGCTTCTGTGGCCCATAACTTTTAGACAACTGATTTAAGTTCACATGACCACGCATCTAAGCATTTGATACAGATGCAGTTGCGCTTTTCTCAAGCCCTGCTTTGGTGTGAGGTCTACCAGTGCCCATCTCCACCTAACATTTCCGTTAATGCTAAATGTGGTGCTTGTCTGTGAGCTTGTTCTCTAATTACAAATGTTGGGGTTTTTTTTTTGTAATACTGCTTTTGTAAAAGACTTACTTTTTTTGTAAAAGCTTTTACACTATGTGAAGTGTCTTTCCTTTGAAATCTTTTAAAATTTAAAAACTCTCTTTAGTAACGCCTTATTTTCCTGATATGAAGAAGTAAAAAAAATAGTTTCTCAGATAGAAGGTTTTAGCCATCTGCATTATGTACCGTGAACATTGACTTGGAGCTCACAGCTGTGGTTTATTCCTGCAGGGCTGGGAGAAATCTGGGATCTCCTCTTTGGGCTCCCACTGGGGCTGTGGGGGGCTGCCCTCAGTGAGCTGTGCCTGCTAAGGTTTAGAAGATGTTCTCTGGAGGGTAGAAGACAATATTTTTCACACAACTTTAAAAATCCCACCCAGCAGCAATGATAGAGCTAGTGATGACTATTTTGATTTCCTATAACAAGTTTACACAATGTAATAAGGATCTGGCAGAATATCACTTTGCTAATTTTGTTCTCAAGTTCTCAAGTTGTACAAAAACACTTCTTGGCCAAGCTCAGAATTTAAAAAAATCTGCAAAGGCAACTGGAAAATGAAGCTATGCAGGAAGCTCTGAGGTTTTTTTCCAAGGATATAGATGACCTTGGATCCCAACTAATTGGGAAATATGTTTTGAGGGCTCTGATATCTTGACATGTTTCTGCCAGTCCAATGGAGTCAAGAGGGCTCAATGCAGGATTGCCCTCTGCATGGAATCCTTAATGGGTATTTGGGAGGTCAGGGATTCTATTTCATACTGTCATTATTTTTTTAGGGCAAATCACTTCCTTGTTTTGTACTTGCCATTGCTGTTTCTGTTCTGCGTGTGTTCATTCTCTTATTTACCATTTTAACCCCTGCCTTGGCACCTCAGTCATGAGGTGGTGCCCATGCTTGCAGGACAGAGGCTCTCAGTTCTTGTCTGCTGGCAGCACTTCCCCAGGGTCAATGCACAGATCGCACCATCGAGGGCAAAAGGCAGACAGCTGTAAATGACCTCAAATGCATTTGGACTTTTGCTTTCTCTGGGAGCCCCCCTTTTGTGGAGATGGTGCAGCAGCAGACAGGTATTTTGCCTTAGCCTGGACTCTGTCTCCTGTTTCCTTGTGAAAGCAGTAATGAGCTACAAGCATGAGCCTTCTTACTAAATTCTCACTCTCTTGCTGTCAGACTGAAGGCAGAGAGGTTGTGCAGCTCTCTCAGGCAGCACAAGGAGACCTGTGGTGCATTGAGCCACTCTAGCCTAATGCAAATGTACTTTGAATCCTTTTGGCTCATCTTGGGCAGCTGCATTTGTACAAAGAGGTGGTTCTCCACACTTCTGTAGAACACATCTCCCTGGGGGAGCAGGTGTGGGGGCCATTTAGTTCTGAGCACTCCTGCCACCAGATCAATTTGCCTTCATTAAAGGATAACCAAATCAAACAAAGCCTCTGGCCTTTCATTTGAAAGACTGCAGCAAACCACACCAGGGTCACATGAGTCTGCAACATACACTGAGTTTTCAGGTAAAAATCTTACAGTACGTTAAGAAGAAGGATTTTTTTTTCTGGTTGGCTTCAAAGCACACAGGTTACAAGACCTATGGAGAAGTGTTCTGTGGGGTTTGTTTTGTTCTATCTCTTTAAAATGTTGAATTACTCTCGCATGTGCCAATATTTATATGGCTTCTGATGCACTGATAGGTTGCTTTTTGCTCACTGATGAGAATAAAGTCTGTTTTTCTATGTACAGTGCAGTGACGGAATGAAGCAAGTAATTGTTTTGTAGGGCTTCATCTCTTTTCCAAGCCAGCATTGTTGATGCAAGAAGCCAGGCAGTCAGGTAAGGAAAAAGAAAATATCTGTTCTCTTCTTCATCCACTGGCAAGACTACTACTTCCTCTGTCTTACTATATGTTGTATTTGATTGTGCTTAAATCTCTCTGAAAGACTTGTTCATTGATGAGCTTTCCATGTAAAAAGTGCTCAAGTTCTCACTGCACAGCAATGTGAAGACCTACTGCCTTTTTTTGCTAAGGGAGGAAGCAATGGTTGGATTTGATGCAGTTTCATTTTTTTCAGCAAAATATAAAAATCATAATAGCATATGTGGCTAAAAACCTAAAAGAAAAAAACAGTTGCACAATTCATTTCAAACTTTTTGAAACTAAGTATTTTGGAGTATTGTTTTGAAATAAATACTTTGGTTTTTAAATGTCCTTTTGATTTGGGGGAGGTTTTGATGTAAACCAAATTTATAATGCCCTACTGTAACAGCCTATCAGATTTAGTATTGATTCAATCTCATGCTGAGGTTTGCATTTTTTAGTTAATACATATTGTTTCTGGAAAATGTGGGTGGGTTTTTTGTTTGTTTTTTGTTTGTTTGTTTGTTTTGGTTTTGTTTGTTTGTTTGTTTGTTTTTAATCTACTAAGTATTATTACTTCCTAAAGATTGCCTATAACCTTTTGTCTCAAAAAATAAAGTTTGATTGACCACTGGAGTGAGAAATAGGCTAGATGTTCTGTTTCTACTGCTAATAGAAAATTCAGGTGAGCTTTGAATAGTGATGGTTTGCAGTTTCAACAGGCTAGTCAAAACTTTGAGAGGGGAGAATTCACTGCAATAAAATGCTTATGCAAAGGGGGTTTATAGGCATGTGAAAATTAATTGGTTACAGGCTAATAGATGGAGTTGCCTAGTCATAAGGTCTTGTTTGTTGTTTTATATACTGTATAGGAAAAACTCTCATATTTTTATTCTTATTTCTAGAAAATATTTTTGAGGATACTTCTAAGCAACGAAGAACAATAACAGATCTTTATTTGTCACGTACAAAAAAATTTACAAGCAACTTCTGAAACAGAAATAATGCATAATTTTGTTAGTTCTCCTGATAAATAAGTGGCCAAAAACCCCATTGCGACTTCTGGTCCTTGAAGTATTGACTGAATTAGTGCTATGTCTATCATGCATGATTGCCCCTTTCTAGGTGCCCAGCTTAGCACCTTAGTATTTTGAAGTAGATTTATAGACTCTGCAAGCAGTGAATGTGCATTTCAGAGCTGAATACGCTAAACTGGGCCTAACTGAAGTGACATCTCTGTAAGAGCCCTGGCATAACCAAGTGGTTATAATAATATATAATAACTCAGTTTCTTGAGCTTAAGCTGCTTGTCTCTGTGATGTAGATGGATGCCTTTGCCATGGGTGTGACTGTGCCAATGCACCTGGTCTTGCTGAGTCTGATGACTGGGAGCAGCCAGGGGTGCTACTGTGAACATTACCCATGGGGGTCGTGGTCTGCCTGCTCACAGACCTGCAATTTCGGCACACAGACCAGGCACAGGTAGGGGGCTGAGCCATCTCACTACTTCTTTTCCGTGAAAAATAGCACTTACTGAGAGGGGCACCTATGTCTGAAGCTCCACCTTCCACAATATATTGAGAAAAATTGTCATGCTCGAGTGTTTATCAGATAAATAGATCATCTTTTAATTGCAATGCTTTAAAATGACAGAATTTTGTATACATAACATTACTGCCCGTGAGGCAGGGAGGGAAGGGGAAGGCTGGAATTAAATGACCCCTGAGATCTCTTCCAACTCAGCCCACTCTAATCCTATGAGCCAGTGCCTCCAAACAAACCAATATCTACCAATAGATGTAATGAGAGGAGGACAGCCCAGTCCTACAGTGGCCTTGCTGGCAGCGTGCTTTGGGTGTTCAGCTGCTGTGGACACACAAGGCTGCTGTTCAGTGCCCTGCTTTGGGAGCCCTGCACTGGGCACAATGCCACAGGAGGGGTGAGCTCCAAATTTCCTCCCTGCACCATTAGTTTTATGACAGCAAATGATGTCAAATGAAGATTCAGCAGTATCTAATTTGATTCAGCTCTGTGGAATAATCTAAACTTGTGAGAAGTACCCTCTTTCCCTCCTGACTCTGTCTGTAGCTATCCTCTGGGACATCTGAAGTGACATGAACCAAAAAAAAATTGCTCTTTAAACTTAAGGCATATTTGGATTTTTCTTGTAATCAACATTCTGCAACTGCATATTATCTCTCAGGATTTCTTATTTGAGTTCAAATCATTTTGTCAGCCTTCACCCACGAGTAGAGGACACCTACAATCTGTCTATTGTTTCCTAGCATATTTTTTTACATTTTTTTAGGCAAATAAGAATGGATGAATATTATAGCCAAAACTTCTGTGACCAGCTGTGCACAAAGCAAGAATCTCGTACATGTAACCAGCAAACATGTCCTATCAACTGTCAGCTTGGAGGCTTTGGCCCTTGGTCAGAATGTGACCCATGTGTTAAAAAACAAGTAGGTAGAAAATGTATTATATGGGTTAAATGCAAGAAATTATGCTAAAGAGATCTCCTTGTTTCAACTTTACATCAATTGATCTGGAAAATGACAGTTTAAGTTAACAAGGGAAATTGGTTATGAATTATACAGTAGGAGCTGAAGAGAACAAGTTAAAATAAGCAGATCAGACAAGAAAAGGGTGATTTAGTACAGTAAATCCATTTATGAGACTGCTTGTGATGCTTATGATAAACTTGCTTCAAAATTTCCACTGCCATAATTAATGGTGAATTTTTCACATAATGAATCAACTAAACCATAAAGTGTTTATGTCTGCTTAAGCAGCAGAGAGTCACAGAATCTTAGCTTAGCCATAACATTCTGCATGTTCTAAAGACAAGAAAAATAGAAACAAATCATCTCTCAAAAAGAGTCAACAAATCCTAGGTGTCGCTGGCTAGAAATTCTCAGTCTGTGTCTTATACTGATAGTCAGGATCAGTTTGAGATTGCTGTTAAGAAATACAGAGCAACATTCCCTGAACCTTCACAGCATGCACAACCCCCCCCACTGCCACAGGCAGATGTGCAATGTCTGTGGCACAAACACCCAGGATGGTGGTTTTTCCTCTTGGGCTTTTCTCAGTTGACAATGGTACACTTAGAGGTGAGACAGTAGAGAGGGAAGAAATGAAAAATCAGGTTAAAGTGAATTTTACCTAAACATACCAAGCCCTGTCAAATGTAAGGCTGTAGAGGATTGAGGGAGGTGACAGTGGATTGTGTGGGGTAGTTGTAGGCTGGTGGGTATGAGCTTTGAAGCTGACCATGAGAGCAGCTCTGAGGTTCTGTGCAGACACAGCCTATGTTCCACTGCATGTGGGACATCTTGGTTTCAGAAATCCATGCCTGAAAAGCAACTCTGAAAATCTGTCAAACCTCTTAAGTATATCTTTACATACATAACTCTCTGATGCCCAAATAGTGTGAGAAAGACATACTTAAAGGTGTTCTATATGTGAGAGGTGAACTAGCCTGTGGGGTTGCAACTAGGATGAGCAGTGTGGGAGCAGAGCAAGGAGAATCAGTGAGAGAATGGGAGACAGAAAATTTCGAGGTGAAAGGGAGTGTTCCTCTAAACTGGACTGATTTCAATACCCTCTTATGTGTCTGAATTTCTTACCTTACATCCATATACAAATGTATTAATTTTTAGTAATTTTGTAAGTATTGATGCAACATATATGTTTCTTCAAATGGAAAGGTGATTTTGTGGACTGTGGTCCATTTTCTTCTAGAAAATATCAAGATCATTGCTTGTGACCTCTAAAAATATGAACAACCAACAGAACAGAGGACCTGGCTTACAGTGTAAGAGTGAAGACTAGTATAAGCAAGTTCCCATTGATGGGAAGGAGTAAAGAACTGGAAGCTCTGACAGATAGTACAGTGGGAGTTATGAAACTGAAATGGAGTGTAAGGAATGGTTCTCATGAGCTTGAAAATTTTCTGGTGTTCTTCACACTCTCCCTCCAGAGTCACTTGGTAATTGTTTTTTACTAGAAACTTCCTACACTCTTTGTCTCCAGGGTCTATCTACAGGGAGGAAAGTCTGCAATGAACCATACTTTTGCAGTAGGAAAAATTCTTAGAGGAGAAACTACTCAGGCACATGCAGACAGGTCTCACCAGCAGTCCTGTGGAGTGGAAAACATATCTGAAGTACTTAATCTAACACCCTTCAACTTTATTATTCTGTGTGGAGGGTGCTGTCTCAGGGAAAGAAAACTCAATGAGCTCCCAGAAACTTTCAGGAAAAGCATTTTTGTCTTCTCAAGTCATCCAGTTCTCCTCAAACAAGAGATCCCACATATGGGAGTCAAGCCAGCTGGGTTGTCACTGTCAGGATATTTCTAATTCAACAGAGATTGTAAAGAACAGAAAAAAATCTCTGTAAGCCTGTTCTCACATAATTTCCTACTGTGTATACTGAAGATACAGAGATGGAATTTGTAATCTGTTTGGTGATGTAGACCAGGTAGTGTGCAGTTTAATCATTTATATTCCATCAGGGCTAATGAGGCTCTTGGATACCTGCCTGCCTCACCCAGGGTGATGGCATAGTAGAATGGAAGGACAAGAATGACTGATTATTTCCTTCAGGGCTCTAGTTCTGATAAAGCTTCAGCAGCACTGAGGTGTGTGTCTCTGCCTAGGGTGGAACTTAGCTACAAACACAGCTCATAAAAGCAACCCTGGGTTTATTTCTTCTGCCTTTCAGTTCCGTACCCGGACACTCCTGCAACCATCCCAATTTGGGGGCCAGGCATGTACCGAGCCACTGGTGGATTCCCGCCCTTGTTTCCCAGCTAAACTCTGCAACATAGTGGAAGTTGACTGCAAGAATAAATTTCAGTGTGAAAGTGGTAATGATTATCCTCACTGTGTAACTGCAGTATTACCAGTTAGTCAAAAGACTAAATAATGAGACAAAAGATGTCCATACATTTCATGTATAAATTCCAGGGGAAAGGGACCAGGGAGAAAAGTTTATGTGAGAATTTTATATGTATTAGTAACAGCTTATCTTTTCAGTTTCTTCTATAAGTAATTAAAATGCCGTTCTTAGCCTGGGATATTACTATGATCGTGATAGCTGGACAGTACTCCAATTATATTTCTTTGCACACATTTTTCACATACAACCATAACTGAAGAGTTTGTCTGAGCATAAATTCTCACTATTTTTATTAGGCTTTTGTCTATTTCTTGTTTGCTTCAATTTAAATATACCTGATCAGGCTAAATAATTTTATCCACATATCCTTTTGCCAAACTTAAAATTAAGCCTTTGCAGCTTTGAAATGAGGCAAAACTCACAGAATTGAAACGATCATTTCTTAATTGGGATAATCCTGGCCTTACACTAACTCAGTGTTAACATCTATAGCAAGCTCACACTTTTGCAAAGGAAAAAGACAAGACTGCCCTTTTCTGCATTTAGACATGATGAACTTTTACTGCTGCTGTTTCTCTGGTGCAGGTCGCTGTATTTCAAAAACATTGGAATGTAATGGAGAAAATGACTGCGGGGACAACTCTGATGAAAGAAACTGTGGAAGGAAAAAGACGGTGTGTAACCGAAAGTATGAGAGCATCCCAGGTGTGCAATTAATAGGCAGTGGGTAAGCCAACTCTGCTAATTTTTTCGTAAGATTTAGTTGTTACCTCACTAATTTACATGAACAAAATAATTTCCAGTTACCATGTGAGAGCATTCATTAAAGCACATAATCTCTCAAATTAAAACTGGCAAGAAATTATAAAAAAACAATAAAACAATCAGGCTAGGACTTGCCTGCTGCATCCTCCAGTCCAGCACTGCTGGTAGATGAAGAGGTGTTGAGGGACACTGTCCCTGACACCTGGTTCTGTGGCACAGCAACCAGAGCATGTATGGGCAATTTACAGCTCATGGAATTACTTGCCTGTATATCATACCAAGTGCTTCAAAAATTTTGAGGATGTTCCTCTACAGATGTTGTTTGTCTGTGTGACATTTCACAGGATAACAACTACTTCCATGCTATTAATTAAAACAATATAAAGCCTAAACAGGGGATGCCTGTCCCAAGCAGACTGGTATTTTTTAATTGAATTTTGATCTCAGTGTTGTCCAGTAACATCATTTATGGTAGAAATAGAGAACCAGTAGCTCATTTACCTAGAACCAATTTTAGGTTCTCCACTTAAGACTGACTGCCTTATGCAGACTTTGGGGTCATCGGTAAGGTTAGGCACTTCTGGAAAGCAGGAAACTGTATTGATGCTACTGCATTTTTCCAGTGAATTCAGTGTGAATGAGAAGTGGTTGTAATTCCTTTCAAACCAATAACATGACCCAGATGCTCATGCTCTCAATCAAATCTTCAATACTTCAATGCAGCTGTATACCCTGAAATGTTTCAAGTTCATACATCTTTCTAGAGTTGTTTAATCTCTGGAAATAAATTTTTTGTTAGATTTCACATTCTGGCAGGAGAGAGCCGAGGGGAAGTTCTTGGCAACTCATTCAATGGAGGACAATGCATAACAGTGAAGCGCAATGAGACAAGGAAATTGTATCGTGTTCCTGCAAATCTGGAGGCTGTCAGCTTTCAGGTACTCGCAAGCAGCAGCTCCTAGCTATAAAACCCTTGGTGTAATCAAAATCCAAGTGCTCAAGTGTTAAGTAGTATTGTATGTTTTAGAACATACAGATTTCTCAACCTGATGAGGCTTGAAGATGCTTCAGTTGATATGTGAAAAGGGGATAAATTTTCTTGCTCCACTCATGTCTTTCAGATCTGTGTTAACTTAATGCACCATATACCAGAGTCAATATGATTGATTTGAGCTTCTCCTGCTTCCTTGTGACTGTAGCCTTATTTTGTTCTGACTTGGAACCAAGGGCCTTCTCCTAGCCAGACATCATCTAGGCAGAGGTTTGTCCAACTCCAAAGCTTATTCCAGCATCACTTCTGTATACTCGAAGTGCCAATGGCTGCAGCTACTGAGTCCAGCTTCCTTCCTGTCACCTGCAGCCTTGGGACCCAGCTCCTCCCTGAGCCATTTCAACCCCTCAGTCCTGCCTGCTCCCTGCTCAGTCCCTCCACAATGCAACAAAGAAAGGAGGCAGGCACTGAGCCAAGGAAGCAGGAAGACAAAATATACACAGCCTAGAGAGGAGGCTTACAGGACAGGCTGGGGAATGACCAAAACGAACTTGGATTGTATCATAAAAAAAATCTAGGAACCACTAATATCTTTTTCATTGACACTAGCATTCAGAAAATGCTTTGAATACCATGACTGGGGCACAACATCTGGCTGTGTACATATGAGCAGGCCCTGTTTGAGCCCAGTAGATGCTGCACTGGGAAGAAAATACTACAGTATGTGAAGAAAGCTCAACTAATAGATGAAAACAATTTTTGCAAGAGGTGTTGTGAAATTTTAGAATTACTTTAACAGAGGAAACTGAAAAAAGGACATCTTGCTGCATTCCACAGAACCTGCAATTGAATTGGCTATGACATTTCGGATTTGTCAACAATGGTGAAAATTACTGAGTGCAGAAATATTTAAGAGGAAAACCAATGTTTGGTTTGCCCAGGTCTCTTTATAGCCAGTAAGATTCAGTAAATTACTAATGCCCACTTGCAGAACTGTTAAGGGTTTGTAAAACTCACCTTTGAGAGTGCATCTTTATCTTTTAACATTTAGAGCAGCTTCTCATGTAGAAGGGCCACTGGATTGGGCCTTCCTGGAACTCCAGTGTGTTTTCCTGTAAAAGGATATGACTTCTTGTAAAATGGAAGTGGAGGACGAGAATGCACCGCCTCATATCCCAAAATCCTTAGCAGCCCTATTAAGCAAACAAGCCTAGAGGAGGGGAAAAAAACCTCATTTTTCAAAAACACAGGTCTTGTCCCAAATTTTGGGAAATAAATGATTTCTGATCTGATGGTGAGGTTGTCTTGATTTTTTGCTCAACACCACCACTGGAGGTTTACCAACCAGATCAGTAGGTTTGTTCATAATTCCTCTTCACCTGCCTCTAATCCATCATGCAGTATAGGTGCTAACAGTCCAAGTATACTCTGAGACTCTCCTGTGCAAACCTGTTCTTTCTTCTAGCTGGAAATTGGGAAAAAAAGGTCAGGAGGGACCAAACCCTGTCTTGTACAATATAGAAGCCATGGGGTTGGGAAGTCATCATGATGTGGACACAACATGTATGTCTGGAATTCTTTTAAAATTATGTTGAAACTTGTTGAAAAATATTCCTAAGGTTTAGGGCACAGGGGTGAGAAGCTTTAGAAGAAAGTGTTACAGCTTTTTTGTGGTTGTTGTTGTATAAACAGCTATTTGTAAGACTGCTGCTTAACTTGCATTCATTTTGCCTCTTAGCCTTTCTCAGTCTCATCTTTTGTGTTATGAACAGTTTTATAGCTTACTTTCGTATCTCAAATAATCAGGCATATTTTTTTCCATTAAAAAATAAGCAAGAAATCAAGAATTCTTTGCTTAACAGTTTTCTGTTTCATATTATCATTTATGCAAATGCATTTCACTTTACTGAATTGCCAGGTAGCAGATGAAGAGGATGATGTAACATCAGATTTCTACAAAGATTTAACTCCCCTGAGTGATAGTGCTTCTGACAGTAGTTCATCCACTCGTAGTGGTAAAAGTTCTTCTGGTATCCCATTTTTATTCTCAAGAAAGACACGGGTCCAGGTTACTTCACTTTCCTCCTTCAAGAAAGCTATTAAAGCCTCATATGAAAAGGTAATTGAATGTTGCCTTCAGTTTCTTTCTTTCTATTGATTTCTGTCTGCTCATTTCAGAACAGAGCTGCCAAAGGCTACTTTCCCTATCGAGACATTGGCCCACTAGATTAGGTATTTAAAAAATTCTCTTCTGATACTACAATATATTCCTGGTTGTAGCATACCTTTTGTAATGCATCATGGGTTTTGTTTAGTACAGAAAACATAGGCTTATTCCACTTTTAAAAAGCATAGATTTGACATTATCATATTGCGTAAGCTACTCCTTCCTCTCTCCTAATTATAAATTAAGAGGGCATAATACCTAACAGTAGCAAACAACTCAAAAAATAAAGGAAGAGCACTCAAGAATGTTGTACATATGCATGTACTGGGTATTAATCTACATGATTATTTTTTTTATTTTATTTGGTAACTTACTTGTATATTGGGGTCTCATGTCTGCCAAGATATGTTTGGTCATAAAAATAATCTCAGAAATAACACACCCACAGAAAAGTTTCTCAGAGGAGATAACATTTTTCCCATAAGATTCTGTGCTTTTAAAGCAAACAAATACTGGTAGGGTAAAATATCATGCATCTTTATTGCTTAATGGCAGTAAATGGTCAGCTATTGTTTGCACTTCTGCATGGGAAAGGCCGTAGGACTGAACGAAGCTAAGGCTTGTTGAAACTCAGGAGTTCTAATGCAATTACAGTGAAACTTTTGCAAAAATATTAGTCTTAACTTTAAGATTTCCTATAATGGAAGTTTGCTGCAGGCCTTTCTTGCTTGTCTTAATAGTTAAGCAGCTTGATTGCTTGAACAGTGCATTGCTCCTAGTTTGAATGCAACTATCCTGAAGTTCCACCTGCTTGAAATCAGTTCACCTTCATGCCTATGTAGATATCTGTACACAGATCAGGCTGCTCTCCTGTACAATTAGCAAGTTTATTTTGGAGGAACAGTAGCTTCTTATTGGCTTAAACACAGACCAGAGCTAGTTATGAAAATGTTAGTTTAGGTAAAACTTGCAACAGAAAAGTTCTTTTGCATCTACATTGGTTTTCAGCATTGTTGTCATGGAAGGTGGTGAGGTACAGGAACAGGCTGCCCAGACAAGCAAGTGAATGCCCCATCCCTGGCAGTGTTCAAGCAAAGAAGTTGCTTCTGCCCAAGCAGAGGGGTTGAACCTAGATAGTCTTTAAGGTCCCTTCCAACCCAAACCATTCCATGATTCTGTGAAACCACAGAAACCCACTAATAACTTAGTCCAGTGTTGGGTAAAGATGATACAGTTTAAAATCCTTTCTTAATTAATATAGAGAAGGACTATTACCTTGGGTCTTCCTCATGTTATCTACTGTATCAGACAGTAAGCCTCTATTTTCATCTCTCTCTCCATAAACTGTATAGTGAGTAAACACAATTACTATAATATACATAGGTAGATGTGTACTTGTGTACATATGAAAGACCTACAGATAAATTTGCAAGACTTCCTTATATAGTGAAAAAAGAAGACTATATTGATCACTTAAAAGGAGGGAGGAACTTTCCTGTGCTTTGGGATGTGTCATTGAAACCTATATGTTAAAATAGGTATAAATAAGATATTAATATTTATATTAAAATACATGTGATATGCATATATATATATTGCATATATGCATATAAATGAACATATTGTATATAAATATTTGCATAAAAATTTTACATGACTATCCCAGGTTCTCAAGAGGACCTTAGCCACTTGAAGTACCATGCATTTCTTCGTATTTGCATGGAAGAAATATGAAGACTTGCTGTTTTTTAAATTTAATTCTATTTACCAGAAATTTTTTAGCTAAGCAGACTGGTCTGTAGTATGTGTTCATGAGTTCTGATCCTTTAATCATAGATTCATAAAATAGTGGAATGGTTTGTGTTGAAAGCAACATTTAAAGGCAACCTAGTCTGATCTGCAGTCAGCTAGGACATCTTCAAATAGATCCTGTTGCTCAGAGCCCTGTCCAGCCCAGCCTTAAATGATTCCAGAGAGGGGGCATCCACCATCTCTCTAGGCAATCGGCTCTAGTGTTTCATCCTCATCATAAAAATTTTCTTCCTTATATGTAGCCTGAATCTGCCCTCTTAAAACCATTACCCCTTCCCCTACTGCTACAGGCCCTACTAAAAGGTCTGTCCCCAGCTTTCTTATGAATCTTCTTGAAGTATTACAATGCCACAATGAGGTCTCCCTGGAGACTTCCAGACTGAATAGCTTTTCCAGTGTGTGCTCATATCAGAGTTGCTGCAGCCCTTTAATCATTATTCTGGCCTTCCTCTGGACTGGCTCCAGCAGCTCCATGTCCTTCATGTGCAGGGACCCCAGCTCTGGATGCAGTGCTGCAGGTGGGTCTCAGCAGAGCAGAGCAGAGGGGCAGAATCCCCTCCCTGCCCTGCTGCCCACGGGGCTCTGGATGCAGCCCAGGACACGTTTGGCTCTCTGGGCTGTGAGTGCCATGGCCAGGGCATGTCCAGCCTCTCACCTACCAGCACCTCCAAGTCCTTCTCTCAGGGCTGCTCTTAGTGAGTTCTTCCCCCTCTGGGATTTCCCAGATTGCAAGCACATATGGAAACCAACTAAAGTTTTAGAATCAATATTTGCCAAAGTGGCCCAGAATTTTGTGTCATGATTGAAACATTAGCTGGGGCCGTTGTAATTTGAGAAAGTGGAGTGGAGCAGAGCAGCAAAATCCAGCAGAAGAACCTGTGTATAAAACACATAGTGTTTTATAATGAATCTTTCCTATCTGCCAGTTGGTTATTTGCTCCCATTTCCTGTCCCTCCTTTTTCTCTTGATCTCTTTGCTTTGGCTTGTGCCATTAGTTCCCCTTGTCACTCTACAAGTCCCTTCTTTCAGTATTTTCTATTTGTTTGCTTTCTACTTAGTACAACGTTAACATAAACAGACTCCAGCACTGCAAAAATATGTGAATAAGCTCTTTCAAAAAGATATATTTTTTTCTATGTGTAAAAGACGTCCTTTCCACCTCAGGATATCCTGTGAGTCTATGTTTCCAGTGTTTGAACATTCTCTTTTTCTTATCTCTCACATTAACAGCCTGACACTTGAACTCAAGGAGGTCTTTATCCCTAGGTTTAGTTTCAGTTTTAACAGACTGCTAAATGGTGGAACTTCATAAAAGAGTTAGTGTTAAAAATACCCACTCACCAAATTACCTGCAAACAAGCCACAGTTAAAAGGTGAAGCCTTCCTCAGAATTTTTTGGTCATCTTACCAATTGCTGGTGTATTTTTTCATGACAGGAATCCTTTTGGATTGGTATGGGCTTGGTGAGCCCTGTTTTTTACTGGAACACAAATACTGGAATATTTGCTATATATACCCACAATGCAAGAGAGCCCTCAAGAACCTCACAGAGCTCTTGGAAAATCCAGAGCTGATTTGTTCATGGGTAAAACATCATGATAGCAGGATTATTTTGTTCTTGCAGTATATCTCAGGATATAATCTTGGCTCCTCTAGGTTCTGCACATACTGCCCTCTGAAGTCCTAACACTCCCCTTTTCTTATTTCTAGAATTCCAACTTTATTAGAGTCCATAAAGTAATTTCTGTTGCAAACTTCACAATGAAACAGTCAGATCTGCAGCTATCAGACATCTTTCTAAAAGCACTTAACCACCTGCCCCTGGAGTACAACTATGCTTTATACAGCAGAATATTTGATGACTTTGGCACTCATTACTACACCTCTGGGAAGATGGGTGGTTCCTATGATATTCTTTACCAGTACAGCTCTGAGGAACTGCAGAACTCAGGTATGTAATCTTTAACAAGAAAATATAATTATTTGTTTAACAGCTTTTCTTATCCCTGTTTCTAGGTCTTAGACCACAGAGTAAGTTCTCCAACAGCCAAAAAATCTTTCACAGACTCACTAATTACTCACACTGCTTACATACAGAGCAAGAAGAAAATTTTGCTCTACACTGTATTTGAAAAGTTCAGGAGATTCCTTATTTGGTAAATGTCACTGTGTTCAGGGAAACCACTTAAGACCTTCAGACCAAGACCAGGTGCCACAAGAAAAAGATGTTCCAGCATCCTGTTGCATGTTGCCTCCCCAGCTGGTACATGGGACTGAGGTCTGAGAGGTATAATAGGTACTTTTTCACATGCAGTTAATAAAGTTGATGGTTTGGAAATTACTTAAAAATTTTCCCATGAATGCTAGACTGTCAAAACAAAAAGACAATACCATAAATATGGAAATCTATGATCTTTAATGCCACTTCTGTAACTTGCATGGATATGGGAGGGTATCTGAAGCATGCCTTCGTGCAAAGCTACAAGAGGAAGCACATGCCTGCTGTAGTGAAGTCTCCAGGGGCAGGGGAGGAGCACGGGAAGCTGCTCCCTCAGTGTGGGAGCCTGGGGCATGGTGCCTGCCACGTATCCTGGTTATGATGATGAAGATGCTGCTCTGTGGTATTTCTAGGCCTGTCAGTTGAGGAATCAACAGAGTGTGTCCGAACAGAAACAACCAGGCGTGTGTTCTTCAGGAAGAAAAAGAAAGTCAGTACCAGATGCACCACAAACAGGATGACTGTGACACATGAAGGTGACCATGATGAGAACAGGGACCATGTCCTGTTATCTACCCTGAGAGATACCATTTCCCTCAGGTGCCCCAAATGACCTTGCACATTTTCCATGAGAATGGCAGGAGTCATGTTCTGTGTCACTAAGGATAGGAATTTCATCACTTCCACAATATTCTTGTCCTCAGTAGTTGATTAATATCTGTTATTTAGATATTTACAGCCAGGACTAAACCTGCCATGCTGTGCATTCTAGAGATACCTTTCTGCCATACTGTGTGTTTTAGAAGAGGCTCCTGCGTGCTCTGCATTTTCCATAACTGTCTTACACTCTGAATATCCCCAGGACTCAGGTCTCAAACACTTTCATTTGGAATATTATCACAAGCTGCTGTCATAGCAGGCAGGGATTGTTCTTCTGAGCTTTGACTTGAATGATCCTTCATTTTTCCAAGGATAGTTCCAAGAAATTAATCTTAGTATATTCTTTAATATCCTCTTATACATTTTCTTATAATTCTGTTGTCACACCCACTGTCTTTGGAAGCCTTTGTCTGAAAATACTGTGATGAAATCGTCTTTCAGGTTCTATTTTGGAGTCAGCTGAACGATCAGTTTCCCTGGTAAAAGGTGGCAGGTCAGAGTATGCAGCAGCTCTGGCCTGGGAGAAAAAAGGGGCTTTTCCAGGACATAGAGTCTTCACAGACTGGCTGGAATCAACAAAAGACAATCCTGCAGTGATTGACTTTGAGGTAAGAGAAGAACAAGAGAAACACTGACATAGCAAAGACTAACTGGTTAGCAGCTCTTCATAGAGCTGTGCAAATATATTTTCTTGTAAACAGGGATGATGTTGTATGCAATATGAATTTACGTAAGTATGGGCACAACATAGGCATACAGAACTTTTATCAGAACAACTTCTTGTGCATGTTGGTTTATAAGGCACACCAGTTTTGCATTGTCCATAGACAGTGGGATTAAGGGTGAGGAATGTGAATTAATTGCTCTGGAGCTCAGGGTTAGTTACTGTGCAGGAAGAACAGTGCATGGGATCATTCCCTTGTCAGGCCTGTGTTGCAAAGTATGTCACTTAGCTAAAGTGAAATAGAACAGCAATGCCCTGTATCTCTGTCCTGCTCCTTTAATGCAGTGTGCTGGTGCTGCTGTGAGTGGACCGAGCTGTCTCCCTCCTCAGCTGGTACAGCAGCTGCTCAGCAGCACTTGAGGCAAATAGCAAAACCAGCATGGATGCAGCATCCACTGAGGTCTCTACTGCTGCATCTCCTGAACTCCTGAAGGCAACATAGGGATGTCTGACAAGACAGGGACTGGATGTAATGTGATGTAATGTAATAGTGATGTGATGTGTGGTAGAGAGTGTTCTGAATTTTAGGACAGAGTATCCCACTTGGTTTTTCTCCCGTCTCACAGAGTCCTAAATTGGGGAGATAAAAGCATTGTGAACAGGATAACATATATGTATAGCACTGCTGTGCTCCTTTAAAACATCCATAATTCCTGTGTGATACAGCTTCATATGTAGGCTCTAGTTCCCTTAAAGTGCCCTGGCTACCCCCGTGAGGGCCCTGCTGTGTTTTGGTTCCTGCTGACTGTGCAGCTCTCTGCCAGGTGTCACCCATCGTGGACCTGGTCAGGAACGTGCCATGCGCTGTGACCAAGCGCCGCCATCTGAGGAGAGCCCTGAGGGAACACGTGGGCAGGTTTGACCCCTGCCAGTGTGCCCCGTGCCCCAACAATGGCAGGCCTGTGCTCTCTGGGACACAGTGCCTCTGCCTGTGCCCGGCTGGCACCTACGGCGCCAACTGCGAGACGCGGGCTCCGGGTTACACAGCAGGTATTCGGGGTGATGGTGGCGGTGGGCAAATGTGGTCCTTCTAGTATCTCTTTGTCTGGGGTTAATCTGCCATAACCTGCCCTTGCTAAATCCACAGCACTTCCTACCACATGGTGATGTCCAAAAAGCATGAGAAAAAATGTAGGGATTACAAATAAAAAAATCAAACTGAATAGCCATAACTCAAAAGACAGTGTGAGACATGGCAAAATATTCTTTAGCTACATAATTAAAGTAATATGAAATGAGCTATTCAGCAATAAGGGGGAAGCTGAGATCAAAGATAATTGATGCAAAAAGTTAAGAAAACCATTGCTTAGTTTTCCCTATAGCCTATTATGCTTAAGACTAAATGGCTAACGAACATAAAAATCGATGATTATGGTTTAGAAGGAAAACTCAGTTGTCATAAGGAGAGACAACATAATCACCATTCTGGCAAATTTAAAGAGCAACTTAATGCAAAAACATTTTTAAATTAAATTGGCACTAGTGCCATACCTAGGGGAAACAAAAGAGACTTTATATATGTTTATATTACACAAACAAAAGGGAAATAAGGTAAAGTCATTTAGGCAGATACAGGTCTCATTATCTGACCCTGATAGAGAAATATTTTGAAATTAATAAACAACTGAAGACAGAGATAGACACAGAAAGTCTATTGCATGCAGAAAAGAAAACGTGTGTTAGGAAGAAAACTTATGCATGCTTCATGGTGGTGTACCTGATGCCAAGAGTTAAGAGAAGACAGTAATAGTAATGTTTTAATTTAACTGGCATGGGATGTACATTTGGGGTTTAGACATGGTGTTAGAACTCAGATTTATTAGAAAACTCATTAAATAACTACCTAAGAAACTTGTCAGTACCATGAAAACACACGCATCTGTGTGTACAATGAAAGTATAAAATATGCTGCTTCTGAGTTTTAATGTTACTTTCAATCAAAACTAGAAAGGTAAATGTATTTTAGTGTTTTATGAAGCAGCTGGAACTTGGCTGGACATCTTCTGGAAAACTTTATGTTCTAGATGCAATGTTAACATTGACAATTTTACATCTTCTGAAAATTACTATTATGAGTTTACCATTATCTCTCTCATATGTGGCCATAAAAGAAATATTTTGTGTGGTACTGGTCTGCCAATGAAAGATGGTGTCTCTTTTATTCCTTGCAGTTGCTGTTGATGGCCGATGGGGTTGCTGGTCTGAATGGAGCCCATGTGATGCTTCCTTCAAAAAAAGAAGGACTCGGGAATGCAATAACCCCTCCCCAATGAATGGTGGGAAGCCGTGTGAAGGGCAGTGGGAAGAAGAGGAGGACTGTTATGTCTCTGTGTTCACAGACAGGTAAGAAGTTTGTAAGATCTCCATAGTAATGGGATAGTTAAGGAGCCCTCCAGAGCGACTCTGTGACTACCAAGGAGAAATAGCAGACAACTTTCCCCTCTGAATTTCTTTGGTAGAGAAAAGGGAAACTCTGAAAATCTCTGCAATTTGCTTCACATTTTGATTTATTAATTTTCTATTCCTTGAAAATTGCTGAAGAACTGCATACTAAAGATAGATCTTGCATTCTGCTTTGCATATCTACTTTTCCAAAGCCAAGGAGAAGTCTTTTCCTTCTCTTCATTGGAGTTTTTTTTACTATCCCCTCCTTCATAGAGGTTTAGATCTGAGAGAGTTCGGATGAAGCTACCAAGTTTTCTCATATTTTCACTTCAAGTGTACGTGATGTACCTTTTTAGCATGGTTTCAACTTCAAAAAACTGGCTCAGCATTTTTCATCTTCAAGCCCAAGGCTTCAGTTTTTCCACTGGGACCAAGAGCTGAAACAGGATTTTCACTATCCCTGCTGTAATGACTGCAGAGGGCATTCTGGAGTGAATAGGAGAGGATTACAAGCAGTGGACTCCACAGTTCTTTGTTACTGAGTTAGGCACCATGGGCTGTACAGCTCCATGCCCACAACCAGCCACCTTTAACCACTCTGGGGTGGCAACAGAATTACATGGATTATTTAGAGATTTCCTGTTTTGTTATTCTTTGATGACTCTTTTTCTTGCTACATAAAAATATTTAATTAATTATGTTGATAGATGCATTTAGCACTTTTTTACTGCTCTCATGCTCTCCCCCCTATCAACCTGCAGTTTTGTGCACCATCTTTTATTTAACAGAATAAAATTATAGGGGCAGGATGACAAGACACACTTGCAGCTCTCCTGACATTCTGCCATTATTGCTTGGTAACCTGAATGCTTAAGATACAGCCTTACAGTAAATTTTCACTTTTCAGAGGTGCTCCTTGTATAAATGATGATGAAACCAAGAGAGAAGAGAATGTCTTGATTAGTGAACCTGACTCTGGATGTTCTAGGCCAGACCCACCAGAGCACGGCTTTATCAGGGTGAGCATGAAAAATGATACAGAGGCAAAGTGTAGTAGTTGCAGAGATTGGAAATTTGATAACTTCTCTGCTGTATGTGCCTGATATCTAATGTACCTACTGTGCTAGTGAGAGTGCTGTGTTCAAGGAATGCTGCAGGACTCTAGCCCACCACATTCCATCAGCAACTGAAGAAAAATCAAGGTAAAATTCATTTCAAGTGGTCCTTGAATCCTTGTTTTGTAACCATGACATCAGTTACCGCAACTGGACAAAGTTATCATTATATTGGTGAGTGGATGACTCATATTTCAGAGTAGGAATTGCATGCATTCATTACATCTTATCAGGATTTTGCTATTGTTTCCTTTGACAATGCCTAGCCTCGTTACCATAGATCCTTGCAGAGCTTTTTGGTGTGTGTTTTTTTTTTTTTAATTTTTGGGTTTTGGTTTTTTTTGTTTGTTTGTTTGTTTGTTGGTTTTTTTTTTTGTTAGAATGAAAAGAACCAGTATGCTGTGGGGGAGGAAGTTGAAGTTGCTTGCATGAGTGGTCATAGCCTCATTGGCTATCAATACCTTCGGTGTCTGCCAGATCAAACCTGGACACAACAACATGTTGAGTGCCAACGTAAGAAAGAGAAAATGAACATAATGCACAGCAATAAAATAGAAGGGGAAGAAAATCATATAAAAAAGATTTTAATAAAAGTTTTTTTAAAAAGAATCTCTAACGTATCTGGAAAGGTAGCATTTTAAGAAGGTATTTCATGTAGACATGGCAAAAACATCATGAGTCACTACATCACTCCTCTTTCAATTCAGAAGTGTTGCTATTATGTGCTTTGTAAGGAAATGGTAATATCCAGTGTATTAGAAAATCCTCAGATGGATGCTGCAAGATTCTCCTCTTTCATAGTTTTACATACTTTTAACAAAAGTACTCAGCTTTTGTTTTCAGACTTACATAGATACCTTTAGGTTGATACAGTTACGAAGAAGAAATTATTCTTACAGAAATTTGTCTACTATCTTTTATATTAAATGGATGATATGTTTCTAACAACAACCTCCCAGGCTGCCTTGAAAATCTCTACCATAAATCAATGCCTTGAAGGATTTATAGCTCAGTTAAGAATTAAGGATCAGAATTGGTCTGTGTTTGCTAACAGGAGAGATTCAGTACTTTTCTAAAACTTGGTGTGATTGTATTGACTTAGTCTTAATTTTTTAAAAAAAGAAGTATCTGAATATACTTAGGAGCTTTCTATTGTCATTGACTTTCTTCCATTTACAAAAGAAAAATTAAAATGTGCTGTTAAATGCCGTTCTTACTATTTTTAAACAGCAAAATTAAATTACTTATATTGGCATACATAAGAAACATATTGATATTATTTAGTTATTACTTGAGAAATATTTTAAAGACTATGATGATGCACTGAAAATTTCTATACTTAATTATGTTACATTTTTATTAGTTTTGAATGTCAGACAAATGTTCAGTGTTACTGAGGATCTTTATATAGTTCTTCAGATAAAGAATTATGACTTTCTGTAAATATCCACAAAGCATTAAACCAACAAGAATTATGCTTTTTTTTATTGTTTGTTACAGCCTCAGTATGCCTCAGGCCACTAATATCTGACAGTATCACAATTTCCCCATTTAAGCAACAGTACAACATTGGTGAAACAGTGAAGCTGAGTTGCCAACCTGGGTTTGTAGTCACTGGTCACACAAAGTATACCTGTGGGAAAGACCTGTCCTGGATGCCTCCTATTTTGAGTTCTATTATATGTGAAACAGGTTAGTATGCCTGCAGATACTGTTTCCATATTACTGGTATCAACAGTACTGCTTATTTCAGCTAGCTAGAACTAGAAGGCTGATGACTGGATTTAAGACGTATAGCAGCTGTTCATTAATTTCAGTTTTACTTTGTGTCTCCCACAGAACTTCAGCTCTAAACTTCTGCATTATGTTCAGAATTTTTGGATGCAATGTACTGTAAACTTTAATAATGAAATTAAGACACTGCAACTGTTTGCTTAAATCCGAAACCAAACCAATGCCCAACTGCATTAATAGGGCTTTATGAAAGCAAAGTAGGAAAATGCATTCTATAGAATTCTGTAGTTTCTCTTGTTAAACAATGTTTTCCAATGATTTTTCCAAAGACTGATGAAGATACTTGTAGCATGCCAAACAGAGTTTTTGAAAATAGAAACTTAGAACAAATAGAAATAAATCCATTTTAGCTTTTATGGTAGAAGCATAAGATATTTCTGTCCACTTCTTAGTAGTTATAGTAGTTCTCACTGTTGTTTCAGATGTGCAAACTAAAATTAGAGGTATTTGCAGTCCAGGACAAAAGCAGGTTGGATCTCAGTGTGTTTGCATGTCTCCAGAAGAAGATTGTGGGTAAGTACTGTAATTAGAAATCAAAGTTTCTCTAATGATAGACCAAGAGGCCATTGCGACACTGAACAGGAAGAGCAGGAAAAGACAACTGCAAATCAAGACTACTCTCTGTTCAGATATTAGCTAGTTATTCCTGTGTATTCAAATTACAGCCCTGTTTGTAGCCTATGAATCAAATGAACAATCACAGGATCACAGAATGGGTCAGGTTGGAGGGGTCCCCAATGGTGTCCTGGCCCACACTGCCTACTGAAGCAGGGCCATCCCAGAGCACATGGCACAGGATTGTGTCCAGGTGGTTCTTAGGTATTTCCAGTGAGGGAGACTCCATGACCTCTCTGTGCAAACTGTTCCTACTCACAGTAACCCACTTCCTCATATTCAGGTAGAATTTCCTACCTGAAATTGCATCAGTTTCTGCCCCTTGCCTCTTGTCCTATTGCTCGGCACCACCGAGCAGAGCCTGGTCCCTCCTGTGGCCCCTCCCTGCAGACACTGACAGACACTGCTGAGGTCCCCTCTCAGCTGTCTCCTCTCCAGGCTGAACAGGCACAGCTTCCACAGCCTTTTCTCAAAACAGAGATACTCCAGTCCCTTGATCATCTTTGTAACCTTCCACTGGACCTGCTCCAGGAGTTCCACGTCTCTGCTGTGCTGAGGAGCCCAGAACTGGACACAGCACCCCATGTGTGCCTCACTAGGGCTGACTAGATATACAGGGTCACCTCCCATAATTGACTGGCAATGCTCTCCCGAATGCATCCAATGACTTTACTGTAAAGAGACACGATAGAAGATCCTTTTAATCTACACTGCTCTTTGGTACTGGAGACCCCAACTCTTCCTTTTCTTCTCTTTATTTCTCCAATGTCAACACCGTGCACAAGGAGCATGCAGGAACTATGATCTCTAAGATTCCTTCCAATCCAAACCATTCTATGATTTTATGATGCTCTTTTTGGAAAATTACTAAGCTCCACAAAATGGTGCTGCTTGGAAATGCATGCACCTTCTAGGAATGAATTCACTCAGTAACCAAGAACTATACAGAAAAAAGGAAACTACAAACAGCATGACTGCTTTTGCCTGCCCTTGGTTCCAAGACAACTGTGCATCAGAGATAGACTTGCACACATAGCTGCAGGGATGCATTAACTCAGAAAAGCCATCCAGGCCCTGTGGAAATTTCACATCCTTGTGGAGATAACAGCCTCTCTTGTTTCCTGTACAGACACATGTCCTTCACCTCCCTTCACCTCCCAACACTTGAACAGGACCAAAGCTTCTCCATCTCACAGGAGTTATCAGGTCCAGGTCCTGCAGTAGTTAGGGCAGCCTTTAGATGGACCTCCAGCCTGGCCATGGCTTTGCTGTGTTTCATCCAATGCTGCTAGACTATTTAATAGCATGGACTTGTTCTACAGCTTGCTAAAATAATTTTTCTTTTCATCTTCCTTTGGGCAGCCACTACTCAGAAGACATCTGTGTGCTACATGCTGTTTCTGAACAGAATGTGACCAAGCCCAGCTGTCAGTACTCAGCCGAAATGTGCCTTGGAGTGAAGTCATTCCATTTCTTGCATGCCGGCCCTTGCCATGGTAATTCCAACCTAGACTGGGCTATTGAGAGGGCAAAGCTCTCTGAAAATAGCTTGAAGAAAGTGCCTTGTGGTTATGACACCTGCTATGACTGGGAGGATTGTCAAGGTATGACTTCTGAATGGTAAGGTTTAGCCATCCCTTTGGATCTAAAAGTGAAATGTGCTGACTTTTGCTGCTCCGGGAACAGGATTTACAGCATTGTAGTCCCTCCGGGGACGGAGTGTGAAAGTGTAGTCAGTTCTGCGTCCCTGCTACTTAGGGTTACACTTAAATATGTGCCTTTTCCCTTTTCTTACAACTAGTGTAGTGCTGTTAGTTCCCATTAGAAAGGCACAAGAGGAGCTTTGAGATTAAGAGAACTTTATCAGGAGAATTACCATTTGAATCTTTAATCAGAAAAATGTAGTTGGTAATATTTTCACCCATGCCTTGTAAGGCTACTAGATTCTAGTTTTCAATTCAGGAATTAATTTGGCTCACACCCTCTATAGCATATAATTAAATTGTGAAATTAAATCATGATACTACTTCAAAAGCGAGACTGGGGCCATCAGGCTTAATATGATTTTAATGGTAAAATTTGCAAATACACATATGTGAAAACTGTATTTATCAAGAGTTTTAATGAACTAGCTAAGCTGGTAAAATCCCTAAGAGGATTATTTCTTAGACAATATTGTGCAACTTGGCTATTTACTGTGTAACCAGGTGATAAGAGCAGTAGGTTTTTCTGTAAATAGACGTCTGAGGTTCTGACTGGCTCCTCGCACATCAAGTGCTTGCCAGGTAAAGGCTGAGTGACAGACACACTCACTCCATCCCTTGCTGCCAGAGACAAATCCGATTGTTATCACATCTGGTCTACTTAATGATAAATAAAGCAACAGCAGTGTGCAGCAATCCTAAGCCCCTGTTTTGAAGATGCAAGATTTCTGTGGCAGAGAATTTGAAGTAAAGATGGTTGTAAAATTACTGCATGACCTCTTGTTCCTTGTGGGCTGAAGCAGAGGGCATGACCAGGTGTGTCCATCAATGGACGTGCTCTGGTGGAACCTCTAGGCACCTTGTGCTCCTGGGAAAAAGGTGATTTTTTTTAAAAAATTACTTATTCCAGAGCCTCTAAGAAGCCTAGCTCTGCCTCCACTGTGCAAATGTCTTCAAGCTGGATCTTGTGCCAGTATGTCAGTGTTTTTATCTCAAAAGCCTACAGAGGAGCCCTGTTCAGAAAAATAAGAGAGAGGGGAGAAAAACATATTAAATAAGATTAGTTGTCAGTGTGGTGCTCAAGAGATTAGAACTGGACTCTTCATCATCTCTGCAGAAGTCCACTTTTCATGAGTGTGCACAAACATTTAGGAAATGAATGTTTTGTTTTTCCTGAGAGCAGGTAGCTGGTATCAACACAGGGACAGAACATACTGCAGAGAAGATACTGCAGTACCATGAAAGAAGCTAAATGGAAGAAAGCACACATTTTTCATGTTTTAAAAAAAAATGAAGGCAGAAACTCTGCCTAGGGAATTTCTGGGAAAGAGTATAAAGAGTCAGAACCTGATTAGATCAGAAATAGGTAATGAAATAACCAGCAGGACTGAGCTTTACCATAAGCCAGCAGTAGGTAGCTTAGCATTCATGAAGAAAGCTTTAATGAAATAGGAGCTGACACAATATGGACCTTAAGACTCCATTTCATACCAAGATTGTGTTCAAGGATAATTGGTAAAAGAAAGTCAACTTAATATATCTTTGTTTAGAAAAAAAGTCAGGGAAAGCCAGTGGATAAAAATAGTTAAATAGTTAAAAATAGTCTTTTGCATGGGCCATTGCTGCAAAAACTGTTATTCAAAGTTGATTATGTCTCTATTCCTAATATCCAACCATCCAGTGAACGCATTACAGGCTTTTTGTAACTAATATATCACAAAAATCCAAGAGTACTTTTCCCTGTTGGACTTTGAAATGTTATCAAAGTATAAAATTTGGTTTCAGCTATCACACTTGTTACTATATTTCCACACATTCTTTCCCAGAGACACAGACCCAGTGCTTCTGCCTGATGCCTTACCAGTGTCCCAAAGAAGAGATCCGCCCTCACTGCATCCAAATGGAGACAACAGGGAGGCGGAGGACAGTCAGTCATTGCATGCTGGCAGCCATGAAATGTGCTGGCATCAAACTGCAGGTGCTGGAGCAGGGGAGCTGCCTGCCATAACCCATTTGCTCTCTGCAGACACCATGATCATTGCATCAAATGCAGACTGAGCCACCCACGGAATACTTGATCAGTTATGAAAGGATAAGTCGATCAAAACAAAAGGATGATAAAAAAAAGTAGAGCTTGCTTAACAGCTTTTTGGGAGAAGGGTGGCAGTGTTTTTTTTCTGTCTGAAAATTACCTGGGCTTGGGAGTATAGGGACAGCTTGTCATTGCTGCCACCACTGGCGATGTGCAGAGGAAGGGAGGGGAACAAAAGGAAAGAGAGAAAAAGAAAGATTGCCTTTGTTCTCCCCAAGATCTGATGGGACTATTCCTTTCCTCATCCACTTGCTGCTTTATCCTTGTGCTTGTGATTGCTGTGCACTCTTGTTTCACTGGATGAATACCTGCTGTATCATGCAGGCAGACAGAGCAGGCACTTCAACACCACTTCTGACGTCAAATGGGGAAGGGGTAGCAAGAGGCTACCTGCAGTCACAGTACAAATGGAAGGAGCAATACCAAACACTGAAATCCACAATTATGCAATGATTGAGTGAAGCTTTCAAAACAATGTGATCTCTAATTGGAGTAGCTGAAGGGAGGAGGTGTTTGCTTTCTGTATTTGTTTGCTGGGTTTGAGCTTTAGGCAGAAAGCCTGAAGCCTCAGGCTTGGAGAATTTTCATGGTACCCCTCAAGATGAATTAAGAATGTTTGTACTTTAAATATGAAATAAACATTTAATGAACAATGCACTGGGCAGAGTCCTACTGCAGTATGTGGTTCTACTTGGAGTGGTTCTGCTTGGAGTCTGCAGAAAAACATGACAATCAGATTCCTTGCATACACCCGCATCAAACACCATCACCAAACCTGACAGCAATTGCATAGGGCACCTCAGCCCAGCCATGGTCCATGCCCCCAGCATTCCTTGGTCACAAATCATTGCTCCTGAGCAGTTGCAACCAGAATTTTCCCTTCAGCACTCGGAATTTCACAAACTGGAGTATGAACCTGCATTTTAAGAAGGGGAAAATTGAAAGTCAATTCTTCTTTACCGACAGACATCAGAACAATGACAGTCAGGAAAAAAAAACCTCACAGAAACACAGAAAATAAAAATATAATTTGCTGAGTTGGAGAGGACCCACATGGATCATCAAAGTCCAACTCCTGGTTCTGCACAGGACACCCCAAGAATCACACCATGTGCCTGAGAGCATTGTCAAAATGTTTCTTGGACTCTGTCAGGCTTGGTGCTGTGACCACTTCCCTGGGGAACTGTTTCAGTGCCCATACACCCTCTGGGTGAAAAAACTTCTTCTAATATCCAACCTAAACCTCCCCTGACAGAACTCCAGGCCATTCCTTTGGCAGATCAGTGCCTGTCCCTCCTCTTTTCCTCATAAGGAAATTGTAACTGCAGTGAGGTCTCCCCTCAGTCTCTTCCAGGTTGAATAGACTAGGTGACCTCAGCCACTCCTTGCACGGCTTCCCCTTCAGACCCTTCACCATCCTCATGGCCCTCTTTTGGACACTCTCAAATAGTTTCATGTCTTTTTTATGTTGTGGCACTGAGAACTGCTCCAGCACTAGAACTGAGGCCGCCCCAGTGCAGAGCAGAGTGGGACAATCCTTGCCTGGCTGGTGATGCTGTCCCTGATGCCCCCAGGACAGGGTTGGACCTCCTGGCTGCCAGGGCACTGCTTGCTTCTGTTCAACTTGCCATCAACCAGGAGCCCCAGGTCACTTTCCATGGCACTGCTTTCTAGCATCTCGTTTCCCAGTCTGTCCATGCATACTGGATTGTCCTGTGTCAGGTGCAGGATCCAGCATTTTTCCTGGCTGAATTTCATAATGTTGGTGATTGATCAGCCTGGTCACCAAGGGTCTGTCTGCAGGTTCTGTTTGCCTTGGAGGGAGTCAACAGCTCCTCCCAAATTACTATCATCTGCAGATGTAGCATCCTTTCCAGCCCTGCATCCAAAGTTGTTTCTGAATAGGGCCCATGATGGACCCCTGAAGAACTCCATACGTAACTGGTTGCCAGTCAGATGTTACTCCATTCACTACAGTCCTTTATGTCTGACACATCTGCCAGTTGCTCACCCACCACATGATGCATGAGAAATATCCATTATTGAACAACCTGCCCTATGTGTAAGTGTTAAACGGTGCCAAAGACTGGACAAAGTCGCCTGGGAGCTGGGAGTGGGCCGGATGTGAAGTGGTTATCTTTCCCTACAAAGAAACATATTTAGGATGTTGTCAAGCTCCCTAGAGCATCATCTAGTTTCAACTTGATGGAGCTCAAGAAAAAGAAGAAATCATCCTGCTGCTGAATACAATAAATGTGTGCTTTCTTACTTAAAATATGTAGTAAAAATATTATAAAAGCCTGGGATAGGCTTTCCTTTGTAGTTCTATAGCTCTTTCCTCCAGGTGAAGATCTACAGTAATATGCTAGTGGTGACCTAGGAGTGAGCTGCAAATTCTATTATGTTAAGATTGGTTTTTAGTGCCCTTGTTTCTTCCTGCTTGTTGCATTCTGTGGGGCAAGAATCAGTCAGAATGGTTGTCTATGTTCTCTGCACCACCAAGAAACAATGAAGATTTCTTTCTCCTGATCCTCTAAGCTTAATACCAGCTTTTCATTACAGGCCTCTGATTTGACAGTATAGCAAAGTTTCTGGTAAAAGGGAATTTTTTTATCCCTGACATTTTTCACCATGATTAATTGCTAGATGAAGTTATTTCCTGCTAAACAGAAGGCAGCCAGGTGCTCTCTGACTGCCCCCACTTCTCCAGCACTTCTGGTTTCAGAGTGGTTATGTGCAGTGCAAGTGCTCACAGTAAGATTTGCTTTGCTCTCTCTTGCTGATGGGGATAGAATCACAGAATCACAGAATCACTGGGTTGGAAGAGACCTTCAAGACCATCAAGTCCAACCCAGCCCTAACACCTCAACTAAAGCATGGCACCAAGTGCCACGTTCAGTCTTTTTTTAAACACATCTAGGGATGGTGACCACCTCCCTGGGCAGACTGTTCTAGTACTTTATCACTCTTTCTATAAAAGAACTCTTTCCTAATATCCAACCTATATTTCCCTTGGCACAGCTTGAGACTGTGTCCTCTTGTTCTGTTGGCTGTGCCTGGAGAAAGAGACCAACCCCCTCCTGCCTACACCCACCTTTCAGGAGTTGTAGAGAGTGATAAGGTCATCTCTGAGTCTCCTTTTCTCCAGGCTAAACACCCCCAGCTCCCTCAGTTGTTCCTCACAGGGTTTGTGTTCCAAGCCCCTCACCAGCCTCATTGCCTCCTCTGGATGTGCTCAAGCGTCTCAATGTTCTTCCTGAACTGAGGGGCCAGAACTGGACACAGAACTCCAGGTGCAGCCTCACCAGTGCTGAGTACAGGGGAGAATGACCTCCCTGCTCCTGCTGGCCACACTATTCCTGATCCAGGCCAGGATGCCTTTGGCCTTCTTGGCCACCAGGGCACAGGGCTGGCTCGTGTCCAGTTGGCTGTTGACCAGCACCTCCAGGTCCCTTTCTACCTGGGCACTGTCCAGCCACACCATCCCCAGCCTGTAGTGCTGCAGGGGGTTATTGTGGCCAAAATGCAGGACTCAGCACTTGGACCTGTTAAACTTCATCCCATTGGACTCTGCCCACCCATCCAACCATTCTAGGTCTCTCTGCAGAGCCATCCTACCTTCCAATAGATCGACACAAGCTCCCAACTTAGTGTCATCTGCAAATTTACTAATGAAAGACTCAATACCCTCATCCATGTCATCAGTAAAAATATTGAACAGAACTGGCCCCAGCACAGACCCCTGAGGGACACCACTATGACTGGCTGCCCAGCTATAATTCCCACTCTTTCTGTTTTGCAGTTGAGCATTACAGCACAGAAAGGAGATATCATCTGCCACTCTTTAATAAGGGGATGATTCTGCCATACACTGAATCCAGAGAAAATCTTCAGCATGCTAAAATAAGTGGGATTTTTACTGCTGACTTCAGTAGGGTCTGGATTTCACTTTGCAAGGACTTTGGGTTTGTTCCTGTGCTCTGTCACAGGGTCCTCAACCCTTAGATCAAGGACTGAAGTTCTTTAATATTTCCTTCAACATCTATCTTTTTTTTAGATGTGATGATATATTAGATAATGATAGTTTTCTTGTTCACTGTGGGCAGGAAATGCCATCCCTATGCCACTGTAAGCTCCAAGTAACCTACCTGGCTTGATGGATCACTGCCTTGGGCCATAACTTATAATTGGAGAAGATACAGCAAACCTGAAGTGAATCTGTCAGGGTAACCTAGGTCACAGAGACCTTACCAATTCACAAAGGACATCTTTCTTGATAATGCAGCATGTCTACTGCACAGAAAAAAAGCCCTATCTATTTGGTCTTAAGATTAGAGAGGAAGCATCATTCAAAATAAATGTAATAAGCCTTCCCACACAAAATTTCATAAAATTCCAACATATCTAATTTTTCACTAGCACAAGCATGTAATGTATATAGAGTACACTTACCAGGGTCTGAGACAGCTGAGGCATGATTCAATGACTGGACAATTAGCACTGATGTTGTAGGCATCTCACCCTCACTTCTGTATAAATGTAGATATGTAGATATGATATAGGTATGTAATGTAGAATACAAAATTTGAGAAAATGTAGAAGAAAACTGAAGAGTGTCTGTTGTAATGTTTATCCTTATGCAACCTCAGAAAGGGGTAATCCAGAGTTTTCTTCAAGGACTTGAAGGTAAATCAAATATATAAGTTTAAATATCAATTGCCAAACTTTTTATGATGAGCCACAGTTAGTTATAGCAATTATTGTTCCTTGTTGCAAATATGAAAACATCTGGTATTAAATGTTTGAGTCCTGGTGTTTTTATACTTCAGATGCTGTGAGAGTGGTAATTATCTCTTGATTTAAGATTTTTGTGCAAAATAAGACTATTAAATGCAAAATTGCTAGACATAGTAAACACAGTAGAAAATAGGCACCAGTGGTTTTGCTAGTAACATTTTCCCAGTGAGTGATAAAACAGAGACCATCTTAGCCAGTGTTTTTCCAGTAAGTTCTGGCAGAGTCCACTGCTGTCCAGTGCATTCTCAGGTTTGCACTCCAGAAAAGGCAGGGATACATCTCCAGCAGCAGTATAAATTGTGGCATTCATGATACTCCAGCTCAATATACTCAGCTGGGTATTCAGACGGAGAAGTCCATCACGTTTCTCAGATGTCCTTGAGCAGCATGCTTTGACTATTTTTTTTTTTCAGAAAAGGGAAGCTTCAACTGTCTGTAACAGAAACAATTCAGTTTCACCGATGAAGGGTTACAGAATAAAGATTACACAAATAATATGTTTTTAAAACCAACACTTAATTACTTAATTAAT